ATCCTACAAGAAACAAGTGGATTAGTGCTATGGTTTGAATGTTTGTGGCCCCTCCAAAACTCATGTTGAAACTCAGTCCTCGTTGTGATGGTATAAAGAGGCAGGGGCTTTGGGAGGTGTGTTAGTCTGTTTGTGTTGCTACAACAGAAACACCTGAGACTGGGTAACTTATAAAGAACAGAGGTTTATTTGGCTTATGATTCTGGGACAGCTGCATCTGGCACGGGCTTCAGGCTGATTCCACTCATGGTGGAAAGCAGCAGGCAGCGGTGGGTACAAACGGATCACATGGCAAGAGGAAGCGAGAGAGAGAGAGAGAGAGAGAGAGAGAGAGGAAGTGCCACGTTCCTTTAAACAACCAGCTCTCATGGGAACTAATAGAGCGAGAACTCACTCATTAATCCCCCCTCCCCCAGAGAGAGCATTAATCCATTCATGAGGGATCCGCCTCCATGACTCAATCAGTTTCCAGCACTGCCACACTGGGGATCAAATTTCCACATGAGTTCTGGGAGGACAAAGCATCCAAACTCCATCAGGAGGTAATGTGGCCATGAGGGGTCTGCCGTTATGAATGGGATTGGTGTCTTGTAAAAGGGCTTGAGGGAACTAGCTAGGCCTTTTTTGCCCTTCCATTGCCTGACATGAGAGGACACAGTGTTCCTCCCCTCTGGAGGACAACACAGCAACAAGGTGCCATCTCGGAAGCAGAGAGCAGAGAGAAGTGCCTTGACCTTGGACTTCCCAGCCTCCAGAACTGTGAGAAACAATTTCTATTGTTTATAAATTGCTCAGTCTGTGCTATTTTGTTATAGCAGCATGAACAGACTAAGACAATTGGCATCAGAACAATGGAGTGCATCAGAGTGCTCATACCCCCTCCTCATGGTGCTCCCCACCTTCTCAACCACAGCCACCCATCCTTAGTCACCCATCCTCTCTCCACTTCCAGAATAACTCTCAAATGCCCTTTCCTCCCTCCCTCCCACTGCCTCTGCTCCACTTCAGGCCACCATCTTCTCTCTCCCAGAATACTGCTCTGGGCTTGTAACCAGTATTCCCTCCATAGTCTTGGCACCTCCAACCCCAGTACAGGGCCAGGGTGTTCTGAACAATACCTGCCAAACGTTCTACCATGGCCCCAAAGGCCTCTCTCTAGCATGGGTCAGGCCTTGATGGTCTGGCCCCTGCCCTGCACTCTAGTCTCCCCTATCCCATCTTCACTTCACACCCCAGCAGACTGAGCCACATGGGGCTCCCTATGTGCCTGGCTCTCACCCCCCATCCATTGTATGTGCTAACCCCTGCCTGCAGTGTTCAGCCTGATCACCTTCACCCCTCCCCTCCTTACTTGCCCCAATCTTCTTGGGTAATTTTTATTCATTCTTTAGGCCACAATTGAGCTATGGAGGAGGGGAGAGTCTTCCCCATCCCCAGGTCAGGTGAGATGCTTCCTCTGTGGGTTCCACATCACAGCCCTGGCCACACTGATGTAAACTGTCTGCTTGCTTTTCTGTCTTCCCCACTAGACTTAGAACTCTGCAAGGGTAGGGATCATGTCTGTCCTATATCCTGCTGTATTCCCAGCATATAGCACCGGGTCTGACGTGGAGCCAGTGTTCATTAAATAGTTATTGCTATATCAGCTGATGGATGAATTCAACAAATTTTGGCAAAGCCGAGGCCAAGGTTACGTGGACCACAATAGCTTCCTCACTAGCACCCTACCCTTTTTCTTTCCCTTGTGAACCCAGCAGCTAGAATGATCTCTGACCCGACCATGTTGCTTCCCTGTTTAAAAACTTCTGAGTTTCCCTATAACTGCCCAGAGCAGAGGTCAAACTCCTTCCAGCACTTGCAAGGTCTTCATCTTCCATTTTCTGCCTAGTTCTCCACCTTCATCTCTCACCACCCTCCGCCATGTGAAATACTTTGGGTTTCCCAAACTGTCTGTTGACCTAAAAAGAAACTGAGGCCCAGTATATATAGCAAGGATTTATTGAACCAAAATGCCTATTGCAAAGGGGAGACACATAGTCAGGTCGCCCCGAGAATTATATTCCTAAGAGGGCCAGCAGCACTTAGCATTTTATAATCACAAAAAGGTGAGAAATCGAAGGAGAGAGGGAGGACAGCCCTCCTATCCACTCGGTCAGGTTTTCTATTGGTTGTGTCTGACATACACTTGGGGTTGTTACCAAGTCACATCCTACATGCAGGGATCTAAGGCAACGGTTACAAGAAGCATCTTAGGTTATGGCTTTCTGGAGCCGTTATGTTTGCTTCTCAGTAAAATGGTCCAGGCCAGGTGGCCACGGCTGCTGACACCCCAGGTCTCCTAACGCACGTAGTTCAGCTGACCTGCTCTTCACTCCCGCCGGGCGAACCCCGGGACTCCCCAGCTTGGACCACGGCCTTGCGCGCCCCGCGGCCCTGACCGCCCCGGCCGCTCAGCCACGGTCCCGGCCCCTCGTCTGCCTCCCGCGCAGCTCACGGGCTCTGAGGCGCCAGCTCTGCCTCCTCCTCTGCCATCCGCCACACGCGTGAGCCCGCGGAACGAAAGGATGAACTTCCGGGTTTGCCCGGGCACGCCCGGCAGGTGGGCAGAGCTGAGAAACGCTCATTTTAGCTCCGGGAGAAGGGAGGGGAGAGATGACAAAGCAAAGTATGGGGGCTCTGAGACGCTCTTAAACGGTAAAAGCTACAGGTGGGTTCCGGGGTCTGCTGGGAACCACTAGACACCTTCGTGCCACTCACAAAGATGGCGGTCGTTCGCGGGAACGCGGGCCGGACTGCAGCCGTGCGAGCAGTGCCTTCGGAAGCGGTCTCCAGATGGCGGGCCCTGCCCGAGTACGTTTCTAAATGATTACAGCGAGAAGAAACGGAAAGGAGCCCGGCCAGCCCCTGTGTGCCACCCCTCTTAAGCAGTTTTCAGACGTGCAGCGTCCGCCCGGAAAGCACACATTTGGCCCTTGGTTTTCTTACAAGCCAGCAGGGGTGGCTGGGGAAGTAGCATGGAGCTCAGTCAAGAGAGGGCTCGTGCTTGGAGGAATAAGCACTGTTAGCTTCCTTCTCAGACACTTAAGTGTTGAGGAGCTCCACATCATGCGTTTATGTGGAAGTGGCAGCATTTGGTTCTGCCTCAGTGTTGGGCCTGGGGGTTGGCAGACCCTGCTGGATCACTCGCTAATCTGTGCCTCTCACGTTGGCCAGCTGGGAAAGTGCTGCTTTTCTGGTGCACTGTGATTTGCACAGGACAGCTTTCTCAATTGTTTAAACATGATATATTCTATTATTGGTTGATTAACAGCCACTACACCAAGCTGCCCCCAACTTCTTCCACCCAGGGAACCCCAGACCTCCTCCAAACCCAGCATCCAGGTCAGCAGGAAGCTTAGGGCCCTGATCTCGCCTGCGGCTTGCATGTGTTCTGATGAAACAGGCCTGTGCCTTTGTGGTTGTCAAATGATTATTAACCATGCCTAGAAGGCTCTGCACAATTGGTCCCCCAGCCATGCCCTACCTTTTCTGTCTTGGATTCTGAGCCCTGGCCACACAGCCCTTCTTCTGCCCCTTGAATATGCTCTGCTTCCCCCCATGGCCTTTGCAAGTGCACTTCCTTCTGTCTAGAACAGTCTCTTCCACTCTGTCCCCCTTTTACTTTAGTGAGTTTTTCATCCTCCCTTCAATCATTCGTAGTTGGCTTCAATAGAGGTTGGGTGGATGAATGAATGACTGATCCATCAAGTTTGAGAGGATCAGGCATGTGCAAATGGAATTATTCCATAATTAGCCAACGTCTTCACCTAGCTAATCATTGCCCAAAGGAGAAAGGGAGCCTGCAGATCCGGGGGCCACAAAGCCCACCTTCTTTCTTACTCAGCGTTGCTACCCCTGGAGAGAAGCAGCTTCAGATGTGAATGATGCCTCTTGGCTGGGAGTATTATCACTTGCAAAGAAGGAAGGAAAAGGGAAATAATCTGAATATTTGGGATTCCAAAAGTTGTCTTGTACCAGGTAACGTGAACTTCCCTATCTTCTCTGACTGGACATGTGGCTAGAAGGAGAATGAGAACCCACTCTTATCTGGTCCCCAGGCCACTTGGACTGGTCTGGGCCACATGCTCACTAACTCTGGCCTCTGCTTCTCTTTTCTTTGCATTGCAAGAGCACCAGGCAGCACTGCGTTAAGGCGCACTTAGTCCCAGGTGGTTACAAAGCTCTCCTACAACTTTTTTCCTACTAGATTCCAAAATAATCCAGTGGGTAGGGGATGTTATTTCCATTAAAAGATGGAGCCAGGAGAGGCAAGGTGACTTGCTCTTACAATCTTTGTGACCTTGTGGCAGAACAGAAACTTGAACTCAAATCTCCCAGATCCCAGTTTACATGGTAGCGACATTGTGCAGTGAACGAACACACTTGACATTCCCAGCAGAGCGCTTGGTGTTAGGTGGGGCAGTCTTACACAATTGGCTTGTGCATGGCTTCATTTAATGCTCCCCGTCTATGGTGCAGCCTCCGCTTTGCATCTTGCAACAGTAGACCACAGAATTTTTTCTCCTAAGTAGCTTTGATTCCCTTTGTTTCTCTCATCCCTTGAGGCTCCGGCATTGTTTTCTTCAAAGAAAGCCTCAAAGAACTGAACCTGGATACTGTTTCTCCTTTTGAGATATTCTTCCCACATTTAACTTCTATTAAGTTGTTGAGTAGGGTTCCTTGAGGCTCCGGCATTGTTTTCTTCAAAGAAAGCCTCAAAGAACTGAACCTGGAGACTGTTTCTCCTTTTGAGATATTCTTCCCACATTTAACTTCTATTAAGTTGTTGAGTAGGGTTAATTCTCATTTAAATGATTGTCATCCTTGCCAAGGTTAGTATTCCTACTGTTAGGTGGAGACTGAAATAAGAAACAGAAACTTAACAAGGAAATGAAAGTGATTATTAATTCTCATTTAAATGAATGTCATCCTTGCCAAGGTTAGTATTCCTACTGTTAGGTGGAGACTGAAATAAGAAACAGAAACTTAACAAGGAAATGAAAGTGATTATTTGCCATAGACTGTAAGGCAGGGCAGAGTGCCAAAAAGAAGGAATAATATTCTTGTTTTCCAAATTCTTTCATATATCTCTAGAAATATAGTAAGATAGATGAGGGTGGCCCTGGGGGAGCTGCATGGTCATGGCATTTCATGTTTTGGGGTTGAGGGTTTGTTGCTTGGGTGTCTTTTTGTTTGTTTCCAGACAGCACTGGAACAAATGCTTTTCACGAAGTGTCCTCTGGGCCAGCTCCTTTGTTCGTCGCACCAGAGCAAGGCATTGCCTTGGGCTCTGTGCAGGTCTTATCTAGTTTCTTATTCCTCAGTGTGTTTGGCGATATTAACTAGAGATTTCAATCCACAGTGAGATGAAAGCTATGGATGGGTTAACAATGAATGATAAATATTCATATATCTTGTACCTCTTATACCTTTGAGAAAGCTGTTTCCCAGTGGATGGAGGTGGGTGCAGTTTCTGAGAGTTCTTTGTTAAGCCCCCGTGCGTGTGGCTCTTCTGTCTTTGGGAGCGTGAGGAGCGCTGTAGTGCTTCAGCCCCTGGGTGCACCCCTGGAGACTCCACATCCTATTTCTTTTACGGTTGATCTAGGACCAGTTACAGAAGTGGATCCGTGGCAATGTGAGTGCATGTGCCAGCTCGCTTTTCATATTTGACGAGATGGATAAGTTGCACCCTGGGGTCATCGACGCAATCAAACCATTTCTCGACTACTACGAGCAGGTTGATGGGGTGTCTTACCGCAAGGCCATCTTCATCTTTCTCAGGTCAGCAGGTGGCAGTTTCTTGGTGCACAGCCCTTCACTCTCCCAGTGCTAGAGTGAGGTCCTGGTGACCACCAGCATTGTGTTTACCAGGGACAAAAGTGCCAGCCTGGCAAAAGTCACTTCCTTACTTTTTATACTTCTCGGTTGCCTATGTCAGCATGGCACAGAACGTGGGCAAGGGAAGTGAGCTAAAGAAATAACCACTGATAACAGGCAGTTTTATTAATTGCATGTTGTTTCTGAGGGTTATGATAAGTCATAGCATTACCCAGTAAGTGCTGAAGAAAAAGACTTTAAGTTCCTTGAGGGCAGACATTTTTTCTGTCTAGTAGCACTTAGTAAATATTCCTTGATTATGAACGAACCTCAGAGAAGGAGCATTTCCTGGTGAGACCCAGAAGTCTTCATGGTGATTGTAATCTTCGTTTCTCTGGCAAACTCAGCAACGCGGGTGGGGACCTCATAACTAAGACGGCTCTCGACTTTTGGCGGGCAGGAAGAAAGAGGGAAGACATTCAGCTGAAGGACCTGGAACCTGTGCTGTCTGTCGGAGTCTTCAATAATAAACACAGTGAGTCCACCAGGGTGGGGAGCCCCTTAGCTCTGCCAGCAGACAGCTGTCTTCTCTTTCACTGAGTGTTTCCCAAAGCTGCAGTATCTGCTTGCCTCTGGCTTTGCTGAAGTAGGGAATTCTCTTATGGCATTCCGTTCTAGAAACCAGTTAGCAGGTGTCTGGCTGAGTCACATCAGGATTGTTGCACACTGACAGAGAATATTTTGAGGGATAAGGAAAGGAAGGATGTGCTGTGGGTTGGGACTGGGACAGCTCCTGTAAGAGTTTGGCCAGGAGATAGTGAGAGGCAGGAAACCCAGCTGTGTCTTGTTTTGCAGGTGGCCTGTGGCACAGTGGACTGATTGATAGAAACCTCATCGATTACTTTATCCCCTTCCTGCCCCTGGAGTACAGACATGTGAAAATGTGTGTGAGGGCAGAAATGAGGGCCCGCGGCTCTGCTGTAGATGAAGACATTGTCACAAAGGTGACAGAGGAAATGACCTTTTTCCCCAAAGATGAGAAAATCTACTCAGACAAGGGCTGCAAGACTGTGCAGTCGCGGCTAGATTTCCACTGAGCTCTTGTCCAGATGGGGTAAGGGCAGCTGGGAAGGTCAGCACACCAGGGCCTTGACTTTCGGAAGCAATTTGAAGACCTCTTTGGGGTTTTGCATATTTGCACCTGTGGACTTTCAGGATATTGACGATTCTAAGACTTGCCTTTTGAAAAGATGCTCATCTGTCAAGTGCACTTTCATTTTGCAGCACGACAGCAGTCCAACTGTTAATTGCAGTTGAAGATGAACTTGTAAAAACTCATTTACACTTACCGATACTGCCTGGACAAAAGTGCCTGAAAACAGCTGTGTGTGGGAGGCCTGAGGATTGTTTCTGACCCATAGTATTCATACCTCAGGAGCTGCTGTTACGACTCCGGGCTCAAGGGGCCACTGCAGTCTGGGAGCATTAGGCTTTCACCTGCCAAAAACATCTTCTACTCTGTTTCTTTTTCTTGCACAGAGAGCATTCACTGACTTGAAGTATTTTCAGTTAAAATCCGGGGCGCCTGCAGGTGTGGACAGTATCCCGGGGGAGGACGTGGCCCTGCACATTGAGCACTCTTGACCTGGGGTGAGCTGTCTGCATGTGGGATGGAATCTCCATCCGAGGCCTCAGCGGCAGCCTGGGACAGATGGGACCTTTCCCTTTGTCCATTTGCTCTGGCTACTGGTCATAGCCCTGGCCGTGGACTTCCCTCGCCCATCCCTCACTGGGTATCCGTGCCAGCCTTCTTCACACCACATCTGCTTCTGAACTTCAGTCACTACTAGGTATCCCCCTAACCCATATCATCACTAGAGTCGAATCAGAACGAGACTGTTGGCTTTGAATCTGAGTCCTGGGTTCCCATGGAGAAATGTTTGTTACACTTTATACGTGGGTCAGTCTCTTGCTTTACTCCACAGAACTGTTTGAAATCTGTAGGACATATGCATTCTCCATGGATGACATGTGCCCAGACTGAGCAGGCAGCTTGCAGACTCTGCACTGCCAAAGAAGGGGGACTATCGTACACTAGAAATGCTAGAATTTTCAAAGATATATATTTTTTATAATGTTTTTACTTCTGAATCTTAGACAATAGAAATATAGGACATTGCTTATTTTAAAACATGGGAAGGACACAAAATTGAATAACTGCTTATTGGTTGCTCAGATACTCTCAAGTGGTGTGAATTTTATTGTTAAATACGTAGTAATATGTGGTCACAATTGTAAATCAAACAAGGTCAGTGGCTGGTCCTGGGTGTCATCCAGTAATAACAGCCTGTGTGGCAGCACCAGGCTTGTCCGCCTTGATCCTTGGGAAATGAGACTTTAGACTCTACTATGATTTATTCTGTGACTGTCCCATGGTTGCAACACAACTGCGGACATGTAATTAGAACAGTGTGCAGCATTTTGATATGAAAATGTGTTAGAATGAATTTTATATGGAAATGCCTTACAGTGTATCATGCATAGTCTTTAAAAAACACCAGGGAGAGGCTTAAAATTTTTAGTACATATTCTTAAATTTGAGCTACATTATATTTCTTCTATAACCCTTTGGTTGTGTGGTCAAGAGGAGACAAGATTTTGTTTACAGTGATGCCATAAACTCAACACGTGTTGGCCACCTTTGGACTGCTAATACTCATTTATAACTTGAAAAGGCCACGGTTGACTGTGGCCCACCTCCCACACCCCTCATAAGATGTGGACAAGAGCTTGAATTGACCCACAGAATATAAAATAATAAAGCTTAACTTTTATCATGTGAGATGTCACTAGCATCTTTTTTCCTATTTATTTGGTGACAAAGTTTGCATTCAGAGTAAAGCTCAGGTGTCGTTAGACTTACAGCACCCTGGACATGCAGGGTGGCAGTCTTTGCATAACATAGAATCAGTATTTATATTAAAGGCTGTTATCCCCAAACAAATATGAAGTTAAATTGAATCAGGTGAGGGTTATTTTCATCAGAAAGAGATGGACAGCTAGCAAATACAGTCTCCTAAAATTAATGTAGGCGGGAAATTGAGGCACTGGGAAAATCTGACTCACTGCTGACATCCTGATCCTGAACCCGGGCTCAAGTGACGAAACCTCACTGCTGGGTCTTCCCACCCAGAATTGGTAAATAATGAAATCCTAGCTATGTTAGTCAGGTCTCAGCTTAATCCCACTTAACCTGGCATCTTTTCTCTTGTCAGTGACTTAAAACCGGGTGACGAAACCTCTCTGCTGGGTCTTCCCACCCAGAATTGGTAAATAATGAAATCCTAGCTATGTTAATCAGGTCTCAGCTTAATCCCACTTAACCTGGCATCTTTTCTCTTGTCAGTGACTTAAAACCGACCCTCTTCACAGAACTAAGGATTAGCTGACTTTCTAGAAAGTTCAAACCCTCACCATCACCCTGCCCACTCCCTCCGTTTCTCAACTGCAGGTACTCTAGTCCTAGGAGACTGACTTTCTAGGTTTAGTTCTCAGCCTGCTGCTTTTCTACTCTACCCCTTACTGCCTCATCTACTAAGACTGAACTTTCCAAAATTCAGTCAGGGGACCCGTGTTCCCTAATTAGGGACTCCTAGGTGCTGGGCCTGCCATCTTCAAATGAATTATTAGACTTAATCTGTGACTCCTGGGGACATGACTGACAACAGGCGATTCAGCTCAACACTGAGAACTTCCTGACACTTGGAGCCATCCTTGGGAGGCGTGGGCCTCCCTAACAAATAAGGGACACCTGTACAGGCCGGATAGCCGTGAGGCAGAGCGTCCCCCTTAGCCCAGCAGCTGGGCTCCCCCTTCTATGCCTGCTAAACACCACCCCTGCAAGTGCTCTGCCCGGCAGCCACGCCCCATGGGAGCCCTACCTGTTTGTAGGCACATGGCGTGTTGCATAGAACAAGATACATTTAGTCTCCTACAGTTCTGTACTCCTGCCTGGCATCTCAGCTGGACTTGAACTCCATGGCTGCGTGTCTGGAGCTCCATGAACCCTGGCAACGGAGTGTGATACCACATGCATGGGCGATGAGCCAGAGCAGTCTGAGGGTCTTCAGAGTCCCTC